AATAATTACTTTTTTAAATTAGTAATAATATTAATACCTTAGTAAATTTATTAATAATATAAAAGCTAAAGTAATAGTAAAAAACTTAGCTAATAAAATTAAAAATGTTAATAATTACTTTACTTTACTTAATAATACCTTTTTAATAATTAAATATAAAAGTACTAAAAAATAAAGTTAATAGTAAGTATTTTATAGTCTTTATAGTAATTTATAGTTAATTACTAGAATTAGGCCAGTTTAAGTAATTAGCTATAGTTAGGGGGGTAATTATACTATAAGGGGAGGTCAGTAATCAAGGCATAGTTATATAATGAAGACATTGACATGTACGATTACAAAGCGTCAATGTCGGCTTTTAGACTCCCCAGTCATGTCGATTCACCATTCAAAAATCAAGACCCAGGAGACACGGTGATATGTCGAGATAGTGTTACATTGATCTATGTTCGCCTTTGCCGTGTCTAATCCCCAATGCCCCGGCTCGTTTGACCTGTAACCCAGTCCGCAATATCTAACATCGTCACAATTAAGCGTAGAAGTTGACGGTCTGTTCAACATTGTTAGCAAGCAAATCCCATGACGCGACTCCAAGTTTTCGTCACTTACATCCTTCTTCTTGGCCTGCACCTCAGCAATGGCATCAACATAATGCTCGTGGCCAATCTTGTTCTTGCCTGATCGTAAAGCAATCATGCCAGCCTCCACACAAACAGCCTTCAACATAGCACCTCCAAACTCATCCGTGCTTCGGGCCAACTCACCCCAATTGACACCGGGGTCAACCTTCATCTTGCGGGAATGAATCTTCAAGATCTGAGCGCGGGCCTCCTCGTTTGGCAGGGGGAATTCAATTTTGCGATCGAGTCGGCCAGATCGGAGAAGCGCAGGATCAAGAACATCGACTCGGTTTGTTGCAGCCAACACCTTGATTCGGTCGTCAGAGGCGAAGCCGTCAAGCTGGTTCAGCAACTCCAACATGGTTCGCTGTACTTCACGGTCGCCGCTCTTTTCGCTGTCGAAGCGTTTGGTACCAACCGCATCCAACTCGTCAATGAAAATAATCGCTGGAGCCTTTTCTTTAGCCAGGGCAAAGCAGTCCCGTACGAGCTTGGCGCCATCACCAATGAACATCTGGACCAGTTGAGGACCTGCCAGCTTCAAGAACGTAGCGTCCGTCTGTGCTGCACAGGCTCGTGCTAGTAAAGTCTTGCCTGTACCTGGGGGGCCATACATCAGTGCACCTAAGCAGAGTTAGTACATACGTTAGGCTTTCACGACTTCTCGTCCAAGTTTACCTTTTGGGGCCTTGATGCCAATCTTCTTGAAACGCTCAGCCTCCTTCATGGGCCATACGATTGCTTCTACCAACTCTTCAATCTGCTTATCCAGTCCACCAACATCAGTGTACTGTTCTGTGGGCTTCTCATCCACCTCCATAGCCTTGACGCGGCTGTCGTACTCGGCCGGGAGCGTATCGAGAATAAGGTACGAATCCTTGTTGACACCAATAAGGTCGCCAGGCTTCAAGTTATCGGCATCGACCAGGCCAATCAAAGGGAGAAAGATTGTTTGTCGTGTGGAGGTCTTGATCACGGCTGATTTTCCAACTCGGGTGGCATCCAGGTCAATGTTGGCACCCTCTTCTAATGATTCGGCCGTAGGGTCCAGGTCAAGCAGCTCAACAACGTTGCCGACGAGGTACGGGAGTTGTCTATAAATCGGGTCAGCGATGACATTCACATTTCCATGCCTCACCAGAAACAAACCTGTTGTTGGCAATCTTGTCCTGGTTCTCTTTGATCTTCTCGCCCATGGCGGCCTTCTCGTGTGATAACCGCGAGAACTCGCTCTTCATGATGCGAGAATCGTTCTCTAGCAAGCGTTTGCGGGTTTGAATGTCTTGTGTGCTCAGCCCCAGGATCTCATCGTCAAGGATATCGTCCTCCTCCTCCTCTGCATCTTGCATGTCGGCGTCGCTATCAGTGGGCTTCTTCTCTTTCTTGTCGTCGCCATCTCTCTTCTTCTCCTCCTTGTCTCGGCGGTCGAGATCATCGAGCTCCTCGAGAGTCGACATGGTGGGAAATGATGTGGATTAAATCTGACTTGAATGGGTTGGTGAAGCTACAAGCTCGTATTAGGGTTGATGGAGATGAACGCAAAGTCGTTGTGGTTGATGCGCGGCTGGGAAATGAATGCAAAAGCCAAATGCTATGGATGCTCTAACGACAGACACCAAAGATCAAGCTGTCAGGTAGGCAGTCAGGTCGCGCGTAATCAGCCTGGCCTGCCAGCAGCAGCACGGCATTGGCTCCAGTGACCTTGCACTGCCGGGGATCGGCGGTGGGTTGATCCGGTGCACGGGCCAAAGACCAATCGAATTGGCATATACCGACTGTGAGTGCTTGTGGGATTTTTGATCTGGCTGCGGAAGCCAGGAAGACAGTTTCATGTATGTACAGCATCAACTCTCTTATCTTTGAATCTCTGTTCTGACATGCCCCATAGTTAGAAAATATGACTTCACGAATATCACGAGCTGCGTCGCCCTGTGTGCGTCAATTGCGCAGAGAATCACACTTCTCTCACAGGCCATGGACAACGACTCTTCGCAGTATTTCGACGTCGCCAAACCATTCGGCAGCGGTAACCGAGATCCGAAAACCAATTGACTACTCTCCCATCACCAAGCCTCCCAGCGCCCGGCCTGTTGAGACGAGAAAAAGCCAGTTGATCCGAACCTACACATCACTCCTCCGGACGACCCCCTTGATCTTATTCTTTCAACATAGCAATTTGACGGCCGTAGAGTGGGCTGCAGTGCGGCGAGAGCTGAAGAAGGCTCTTTCCACAGTTCCCAAGCCCAATGCGATTCCTGGTGCTGAACCTGTCGATATCACCCCATTAGTCCAATTACAGGTGGTGCGAACCAACATGCTGCGCGTGGCGCTCAAGCTTGTTGAGTTCTACGACCCTGAAGCTGCTGCTGCGTCAGACAAGACAACAAGAACGGTGCGGGGTCCTGTTGTTCATGATCTTTCCGAAGCTGCATATGAAACCATTAAGAATGCCCAAGTGCCCGAGGACTCCAGCTACGCTCAGATCGAGCCAGTAATGGTTGGCCCTTTGGCTGCACTGGTTCTCCCTGCCGTCTCTCCGACCCACCTTGCGGCAGCATTGAGTGTTCTGGCACCCGTTCCGGGCAAATTCCCGGCTCCTTCAAGAAAGAAGAACCCCGGTTTTCACGATCCCATCTGCCAAAGTGGTCTTGCTAAGTTACTACTTGTCGGTGGCCGCGTTGAAGGCAAGATCTTTGATCAATCTGGTATCAACTGGGTTGGCGGTATTGAGGGCGGCCTGGAAGGCTTGAGGGGCCAGTTGGTGGCCATGCTCCAAGGTGTTGGATTGGGCATCACCAGTACCCTGGAGGGCGGAAGCAGAAGCTTGTGGTTGGCTCTGGAGGGCAGAAAAGGCCAGCTAGAAGACGAGATCAAGGGCGACAAAAAGGATGGCGAATGAACTTGGAGCTCGGGAGGTTTCGAGATACGATGTACAAATAAGACGCCTAATAAAGGATAAAGGCCATGTATGTGTAGATGTACGAACAGCAGATTGGATCTCTGCAACGTTAAAGCTAGCTAGATCGAGAGTTCTCCCAGGGAAGCCATATTCTATGGCACCTTGTCCATTGACCACAGAAGTAAATGGTTTAAATACTCTGTTGCTTTGGCGAAATGGCGGAATCGTTCCAGCTGATACTTTGTGCCTTGTGTAGCAATAAGTGTGGCTGTATCCGTCAGGTGTGGCTGAAAGCTACTATTATTATATGCAGGTACCTACTCGGGTAGGTATGAAAGCTAACTCCTACCTCACCAAGAACAACCTTGACCTACAATCATCGCCCCCCCGCCTCTCGATCAACTCAATAGTCGCAAACCACTTTACAACAACACGACAAGATCACCACTTTCCTCGAAAGTATCATAAAGCTGTGAAATAAAGGGAAAACAAGGCGACGGTTAGTCACTGGAGTTCGATTACAGCCTACCTATTTACTGTTCCATCGTCATTCGATTCACCTACCGGACCGTCTACATCGAATCAGCAACACAATTCAACACACACGTTATGGACTTCGCTCCTTATCAATCATCTCCTCCAGAGCACTCACGTGTTACCTCTCCCGACTACGCCTCTCCTCGACCATCATACGATGCCAGACGATCGTTTTCACCCGTCGCTTCTCCTCCACCGCTTCAGCACCCACAGCCACAAAGAGGATGGAGCGGTTTCGATGGCCAGTCAGCTGGCTGGGCGGCCATTAGTCCTGATAACCGCGCTTTTGGTGGATCAAGCACAATGCCTGGGACCTATCCTGCTGCCGAAGTCAGCGAGTTCGATACAAGCTTAGGAATGCGCCTGGATTACGAAGCCTGTTTAGCATATGTCGCATTTCCACCACTGGGTGCGATTATACTGCTGATCTTGGAACGGAATAGTGACTATGTGAGGTACGATTGCATCTTTAGGGCCATGCTCGAAACTTTCATCAATGTATGTTCGTTTTCTGACACTCGTATTAGGTTTCATGCTTGGCAATCTGCATTGCTATTCACAGCCATTATGGTCTTCCATCTTATGTTTTCATGGTCAACGTTTCTGAGCTGGCTGTTTTTCCTTTGCGATATTGCCTTGATCGCTACTCTCACTTTACGAGCTTACAAAGATGCAGAGATTCTCGACAGGTACGTGGAATCCCCCAGTCCATCCAGATCTCGTTATTAATAGACTTCTTAGATTCGAGGTGCCATTCTTCGGTGCCCTAGCTAGCCGATTCCTTGATGATGAGTAACATATAATCAAGTTGCACGCGCTGCTTGTATTGTACTGTTCTTTTTTTATTTTTAGTTTCGTCCATTTAGTCGTATTCACAATACCCCTTCCCAGTTCAGAACTGGCGATCGAATTTCCTCATGTTAGAAGCCAACCCTCTGTTTTATCAAATTGATAGATATACTCACGCCCCTTCTAGCACACTTAGATTTTTCCTGGAAAACCAAGTGTCTTCAGACTTGGCTCTTCCGTGTTGAGATTCAGCTGATACATCCACTTGTTGAAGACCATCTTGCCAACATTTCCAAGTGGCTGAACGTATTTGAGTTTACTTTCAGTCATGGGGAGACAAGAATGAGGTATCTTATTTAGGTCTCGCAAAATCTATCTTGAACCCGTGAGGATGGACTCCGCAGAGCCTTTATTCTCAAATCATGCTAGTACTCCGTGAAAATCTATCACTCCACTAAAACTTGCTAAGCACAGGTGCTACCGTGCCCTTGAGTGTAGGCCTCTCCTCGAACACAACCTCTCCAATCTTGGTTTCCGGGGAACTACCCACGTCCAGCCATCTTGCCAGGAGGTCGTTGCTTTCTTTGGGCTTTACAGAATTGTCTCGAGTTCCGACAGTTATGTGAGCAACGCGGTTTACACACTTCCATTGGTCATTTTGGTCTGCTAGGCGAACCACGATAGCCATGATCCTGTCATCAAACACAGCCTATTTACGGTCAGTTGTTGTAGAGCTCATGAGTTTTGGCCCAACTTACTCGTTCGAGCATGACATCGCATTCGCCAACTTTCCCTTCAGGGTCGCCAGCAGCCTCTGCTTCTTTCTGCAGCGCATCGTATCTCTGCCAGAGCTCAGGGTGCTCCTTACTGCCAGCCTTGTGCAGCAAAGTCACATGAAATTTCGCCTGTATGCGTCGTGTTTGTTTGAGTTGTGTATAAAGCCGCGAAGTTGCACGTGGGGTGGCTTTGAAGGCTTGCTCAAGAGCATTGTTGACCTCCTGGGTCGAAATACCCACAGACATGTATTCCATCTTTCTTGGCTTCTGAACTTTAGGTTTTTGCTGCGGGTAACTTTTCTTGCCCCTGTCAGGTATATCGTGTTTGAAATCTGGTTTGTAGCCGAGGGCGTAATCCATGGCAGCGTCAAATGCTGCAGCAGAGGGAATCTCCTTGACAAGATTTGGAAACAACTTGTGGAGTTGTGTGACGAGAGTTTCGAGATTCTGTCGGCTGCTGGCTGTAGGATCAAGGTCTATCACAGCATCGAAGCCATCGTCAGGTCGAGAGTGCGGGTTGCAGGCTTCATATCGGTTGATAAAGCCCTCCATTACACCAATGAACTTCTCCTTGTCGCTTGCTGCATGGATAGTCTGGTGGTTATCACCCCGGGCAATAATTCTTTCCTGGGTAATTCGCCGGATCTCATCGATTGAGTCTTCATCATGCTTGAAGTTCATGCAAACAAGCTTGGCAGAAGAATGCTGGAGCTTCACGTCGGTGATGATCTGCTTCCGTTCGTGTCTCTGTGCATTGTTTCGGTCTGCAATCACGGCAGGGTGGTCTTTAAGTTCGTCCAACACCATCTTTGTGAAGCGCGGAGGCCGGCCTTTACCAGAGATATTGTCGTTTTGAACATGACCCCAACCGAAAAGGTGCGAGAGCCCCATAGCAAGGGTTGTCTTACCACAGCCAATGGTGGCAATAGGACACAGAATAACATCACGAGTGACCTCCGTCATTACAACAGGATCCAGCTCTCCCATATTAGCTGCATCTGCACCGTTGATGTTCTTGAATTTCAAGAAGTCATCCCGCAGAGCGATGATCCCATGGTTGTTGTTGTACTCCTTTCCCAGCTTCGGGTCTGCGGCAAGTCGTCGTCGGGCGTAAAGTAGATACTCCTCTGTGATTTTGGCGTGTTTCTTGAACTTTGGCTGTTTTCCAGCAATCAAGGCCTTGGTACATTCTCTCCACTGGCGGTACATCAGGTATGGCTCCTCAAACTTGTACTTGAAAAACCAGTCGCGATATGGATGTGTAGAAGGGTCATGGGACATCTTGCAACGTATAACAAAACCCTCGACATCGCGACCATCGTGTGCTCCAGTTTCAGCTACTTCTTCGAGGAAAGCCTTGACTTGGTGAATGTCGTCCATCGTGATAAGGCCCGTTTTACGGAACGCCCACTCATCGGCAAATTCTTGAACGAAACGACTGGGGTAGGTAGCGAACTCGGGTAGGTTGAGGTTTACGCCATGGAGATATAGCCCAGCCTTATCTGGACCATATGCTAAGATGTGCTCCTCGAATTGGTCATCACAAAGCTCCGCGACGGCAGTCACGTTCCTCTTGCGGAGCTCTCGTGCAAGGTCTGCTTTTGTCTTGCCAACGGCAGCCAGTTGTTGTTCTAGGCGCTTCTCTCCGGCGCTGGCATGGCTGACTTGGATGTCATCTCGGTCGCCAGTCGAGTGCTTGCTGCACACAATCAGTGTGTCGTCTTCCAATCCGGCAATGAAAATAATGCAGCCGTTCTCCTTGAGTGTCAGCTCGTAGGGGCCTTGAGTACGTGTGAAGATGTTCTCCCACTTGGTCTCATGAACCTCGTTAACATTGAAGAACTTGTCGTAACCTCTCACGGCGATTTCTGGCTCGTTTCTTCGTGTCTTGGTGGTGAAGAGGCCGCGCGCATATGTGGGCAAATCACGTCGCTTGTAATCCCAGTCCTGCAAACGCCAGGAGTCGACTTGGATGCCATCCGTTGATCCTTTAACATCGAACGTTGTCTTTTTGATTGCGAATCCGCCGCGTTTCTTGTCCTTCCGGGCACTATCTAAAGCACGCACCATGTTCGCCACGGCTTGAACGTCCTGAGGAGTATAAGGGGCAGACATTCTGTCGAGAGCCGTTGAAGAGGCTCGAAGATTCTGGTAATTCGCGGTGGCTCTGCTGAGGGATGTGAGAAGAGAACGCAGAGGACCACGGTAAACAAGCATGAGGTTGATGTTGATGGTTCTTGGGCAAGATGATACGCTTTCCTCACTTGAGGGGCAGGCAATCTTCTGTCGAGTGATCTGAGCCAACTTGTTCCAGGAAACCCCAAGGCTTGTTTTCCATAACCTTTAGCATCTGAGATCTGGAGGAACTCACTTTTTGAAAATTCAAGTCAAGAAAAGAGTGACGTGCGTGATGAGGCTGCAAGTTGCTTACAGTGCCCTGTCAAGTGAAACGAGCTGGACAACAACAGTGAGCGTATTATTGTACACAAGGGGTAACTGTAAATATGTATCAACTGAAGCCAGCTGCAGATATTGGCACTAGCTAGGCCTTTTATATGTAGACCGGGTTAGCGACGGTATTTCTGTAGACGCAGCTCAAATGAGGTTGTGGCGGTTGTGCTAAGGTCGATGCGGGCCAGGAATAAGTCGAAAACTGCCTTACGGCACCGCCTCAATAAGAAACGAACTTAGGCTCTCTTAGTGAGTCAGGCCGCTATCCCTGAGGAGCAAGGGTTACACGAAAGAGAAATCAATGCTCAATCAAGGTCCGAGAATCTTGTGTTCAAGTTCGGAAACTGAGGTGGTAGACCTTTTACTGAGTCATCCCATGAACCCTTCACCATTAGGTCAGGCAAGCACTTTGGATGTGGAGGGGCAAAAGTACCAACTCTGGATGGGTCTTACCCTGGAATGATGGCCTTGCTGTGTCTGGTGCGTCACGCCGGCAACAATTGAACGCCAGGGGTTCATAAAGGATTATAGGGGCTAGACTGGTTGATAGAGCCTGTGTTCTGCCTAATAGAAAACCACAGGTTGGTCTGGATAGGTAGGCACCCAACGGAGTAAATACTAATATTTTGTCGTCATGATGGGTTGTGGCGGTTCCACACGCAAGCTACCCCGCCAAAAATCTTCCTTCTACATACAAAGTTTCAATGGTTTCGACACTGACGACACGACAAACTAGAAACCTATCTCAACTTTGTACATAAAATATACTGCCTCTTCAGACCTCGTTCCTTGTCGCAAAACAGCACCAAACATAAATTTATAATCATGTCTACCCCAAACCCATTCCTCCTTGCAGCCGATAACAACCCCGCGTTGCTGCCCCTCCTCCGAGAGAACCCAGCACTCGCATCATCGCAGGATGAGCATGGTTACTCACTCGTCCACGCCGCTGCCAGCTACAATCATCTCGACCTCCTGCGAGCGCTAGTCCGCGAGTTCGATGTCGACGTCGACCTGAAAGACGAGGACAACGAGACTGCCTTGTTTGTTGTCGAGACCCAAGATGCTGCGCAGGTCCTCGTCGAAGAGCTCGGAGCAAACATCAACCACCGGGGATCAGAAGGGTTAACAGCTAGAGAAAAGATTGAAGCTGAAGCTGAATTCCCTGCTGTTGCAGAATACCTAGCCATGATCCAAGCCAAGAAGGCCGATGACCCTGCCTCGACTGCAGCGGCTGTCATGCCTAAAGTTATCCCTCCCCCTCCAGAGGGAATGAAGGTTACCGTCGGCACTATGGACGAGACCACAGACATTCCCGAGGAAATAGACCCAGAATTCCGAAGAAGAATTGAGGAACTGGCTCAACGCGACGATTTCAACACCCCTCAAGGTCAAGCCGAGCTACGGAAGTTGGTTGAGGATGCTGTCCTGGGTGAGGGTGGTGTCGAGGATGAACGAAACGTACGATCAAAGCAAGATTAAGGGATCAATCCGACGACTTTGTTTCCCACATGAGATACCTTCCGGCCGCGCTAGGTGGTCTCAGGATAGTGAGGTCATCACTGTTGCCAGATACACTTCTTGAAAAGCTTGTAGCACTGAGGGAAAACCATGTTCTCGAAGGGCAAGCAACTAGCACATCCATGAGCAAACCACGAAGCCACTGTGCTGACATGAAGCCCTCCCAACTCAACTTGCACACCTTGGATTCCTCGGGATCGTCGCCTGGCACAGAATATCTCGACAGATAGGGGTCGATGCTGTCACGAGGCTCCACACGCGAGCTACCAAGGCGAATGAGTGAGAACCACTCGTAAACTTCTGTGACGAAATATTCCAGAGACTCGCGATCATTTTCAGAGAGAATCTCTGGGTCGACATCGAGACTTGGTTGAAGAACAGCGATATCCTGCGATATGTTGGATGTTGATGTACAGGTTGTAGGAGAGAACTTTTGTAGGGGATCAGGACTCGGGACTTGGAAAGCATTAGTATGAGATCGAAATATGGGTTTAAAGAGCTTGATTATGCTTGCTTTGGGTTGTACTATTGCAGAATAGCCATGTCACGGGTTGAGCGAAGACAGTCTTACAGGCGTAGATCAGTCTGTCGTAGCCCTTGTGTCCTCGAAGCATGGATGGATCTCTAAGGTTGTATGTTACCACTGCACGAGAGTTAGCTGTTACTTCTAGCACTTGTTATCTGGCCACTCACCCCAACGTGGTTTTGACCCTCGTCCACCCTTTGCACCATATGGTTTACCAACAAGTCCTGCACGTTCATATGTCTCCTTATCCACGAACATGGTCAATGCACCTACTAAGAGTCAGTACATAATCTCCAAGGGTTCGATCCATTCGTATACCTTCGCGCAAGGTAAATAGCATGCCAACCGTTGTCTGTCCCTCCGAGAGCATTATGATATCACCTGAAAACATGGTTAATGTCAGAAATACTGAAGAACAGGGTAAATTGCTTGCCCTTTTTAATATACTCATTAAAAAAGTCGCCCTGTAGAATATCTCCAAGTGACATTGCTACCTTGGAGTAGCGAGGCGCATTTTGAGCGTTGCTCAACTGCTGACATGCAGCATCGTAGGCCTCTGAAGGTAGAATTAGGTCGACCTAACCTCAGTTCAGTATTTGATTCAATCTGAGCGTCCCTGCTTGTTCAAACCTTATGGATGAAATCCAACGACATAACTGCAGTCCAAGGCTTGCCCTTGCGAGGAGCTTGCTTGATGTCAAGGTAACCCATAGTGCCGTATGAAACAAAACATTTTGGCGACTGATAAATCGACGGCGCAGCAGTAGGAAACATGGTTAAAGGTCGGGAAAAGTATGATGTTGTACCGTATGTAATGCCAATCGTTGATTCTGCGCATGTGTAAGTCGCAAATGCAAAGTGCTGGGTAGGTAATACAAATGGAACGATTTGGTTAGCCGGGTTTTTCTCGGCAAAGTTTTCTCTCGATATCATAACCTACCTTAGGTAGGTAAATAGAATCTCTTGGTCGAGCTGCATCCTCAACTCTGCAAATCGCTAAATTTTCCAGATATTATATACCTGTGAAGCATTAAACGCTACTAAGGCTCATATTTAAGTAAGGCATTTTCCTGATCAATAAAGTCAGGCATTTGGTGTGACTTCCCCCACCGCCCCAAGTCACAAATCCTAGGGTAAACTGAACTACACAACAAGATTCACCAGAAACTGAAAATTGAGATGGATTTTCTCATCAAATTTGCTCAGGCGCATGAGACGTTTCGAGTCCCCGAGATCGAGGCTTTGGCCTTGGTTGAAGGCCTGGATATGAAAATAGTCGACTATAGCCAAGACGTCTGTTCTCCCATGTATAATATTGGTTACATCCAGAAACTTACTGTGAATAGTCCCCATTCTGTATCGTGCACCTGGATTCGGTAGATTCGGCCAAGCGTCTGGCCAGGAGATCCATTCTCATTCAATCTATCCATGAGCTTTGGGGCAGAGGAAGCACATTGGATGAACTTCATGAATCAGTCAAGACAAACACATCTCATGTTTGGGATAGTTATCTTGGAAAATCATTCAAGTTCGATGTTGACCCATACCAAGGAACTCGTTCAGCCAAAAAGAGGATCGAACTTATCAACTCTTTCCGATTCCTGGGCTGGACTGGGCCGGTGAAAATGACCAACCCTGACAACTTGTTCACCATCTTCGAGATGTGGCCCTACAACAGCGTACCCTTGAATATTCCGGATCCCACAACGATGTATCTCGCACGGTATGTAGGGAACTCATCGCGAGAAATTTTGGTCAAGTTCGACCTCAAGAAGAGAGGATATATCTCAACGACGAGCATGGACTCTGAGCTCGCTCTGGTCACTGCCAACCTTGCACTCGCCGCCCCTGGCAAGCTATACTATGATCCATTCGTTGGAACTGGTTCCTTCCCCATAGCCTGTGCCCATTTTGGTGCCCTTGCATTCGGAAGCGATATCGATGGTCGAAGCATCCGCGGCGAGGGTGGCAACAAGAGTCTGAAAGGCAATTTTGATCAGTATGGCATTGGGCCTTGTTTAGGAGACGTATTCTCGGCCGACTTGACCAACACGCCAATCAGGAGGCATCTTCGCACATGGGATGGAATTGTTTGTGATCCTCCATATGGCGTGAGAGAAGGGCTGAGAGTTCTTGGTCTCCGTGACCCTGAGAAGACCCCCTGGTTGTTAGAGCAGGGGAAGCAACATGGAATGTACGTAATGTCCTAGCCGTTTGATTTCGCATTCGCTGACTACCACAGGAAACCAACTTATGTGCCACCTAAGAAGCCTTATAGCTTTCTGGTGATGCTCGATGATATCTTGAGTTTTGCAGCCGAGACTCTGGTGGATGAAGGGCGATTGTCATTCTGGATGCCAACAGCTAACGACGAAGACCAAGAGATTCCCGTACCCAGCCATCCTTACATGGAAGTTGTGTCTGTCTGCACCCAGCCGTTCAACAAGTGTGAGTTGCCGCTGGAGCCGTATTGCTTATCCTGCACCTACTAACATTCCACAGGGTCAAGGAGACTCATCACATACCGTCGGCTCCCCGACTCACAGGTCTCGCAAGAAGCCCTCAAGGCTTACACGAATAGACAGAAGCTCACATTGAACGGAACATCGGCAGACGAACTCAACCCGTTTCGACGTGGATATTTCAAAAAGTTCGAGGCCGAAGAATAGAACCTCGCTTACAGGAAAGACTTCGCTGTGCTCCCATCAGAGACTTCCTATGCTCCGCATTCATGTGTGATAAACTGCCCATAAAACCCAAATCCTGATTACCCACAAAAGCAACATACGTAGGCACGTCAAGATGTCATGATGGCGGGCCCTGAACCTTCCCGTACTCTCATCTATATGTATGTTGTTATAACAGCGCTGGATATCTCAAACCGGTCCTGCAACAAAACCGAGGCGATGACTGGCAACGAGCTTGTCGCGGCGCCGCGCTCCAAGCTTGCAGTATGCTTTGTACTGGCGTGGCCATGAATTTAACGAAATTCGGTAGCGGCAAAGCATCCCCGGTCGGGGACATGCTTCAGCTCCAGCTGCTGGAACCTGTCACTTATTAGTATGCAGGAATTGATGCGTGATTGATGTTGGTATGGGGAACAAACTTTTCGCTTTTAGAGTGGAAGTAAATACCGCTTACTTCACCCTTGACCTGGTTAAAGCAAATGTAGTAGAATCCCTCGAAGCTGGCACCTGTTATCGTGCGAACTCGATGGTCTGGAACTAAGAAGTGCTCTTTCCAGCGCATAAAGATGGTTTCTCGTTGGGCAGCATCTCGAATGGTGACAGGCCCCTTGCGAGCTTGTTTTTGGAAAGGGCGGAAAGCTGTGAACTTGGCCCAATGACTCAAGTCGACCTTGCTATTTGCGCCCCAGTTCTCGTGTTGTGTGTAGAAACTGTACTTGGAACCGATGATTTCGCCCTCGAAATATGTCGTGAGGGTGGGATGGTCCTCAGTCAGACCTTGAAAATAGAGTCAGTGTTATTGTCGGTCGATCTTGATTGCACTCTGGCCACCAACCTTGGATACGCAGATAGCCACAAAGAAACGACTCTCGCATGTCAACATGCTTTATTTCGACTTGCACATCGTAGACCTGCCTCTCTGACTGTTGTGTGCCATGAAATTTGCTGCCCGGACGTAGGTAAGATGAAGGAGCCGATGGGATAGTCTTTCGATAGTCAGATCATTGCATATACAGTGCGATCGACGTTTTAACTCACCCTCATGCATGAAAAGTCAGAACCCATAGACGGAGACCAAAGCTCATCTTCTTGCGCATCGATATCAACCCAATCGGAATCTCCATTCGGCGACCCTCTCCGCCTGGATGATTCTCGAGCCGTTGATTCGGTTTCAGATACTCGCTGGGTGCTATTTGAAGGCCCTCGACTCAATTGACTGCCGATCTCGGCCTCTCTTCCCTTTATTTCAGACGCTGGGTCGCTAGGCATTGGAGTCGTGGCAGCCGTAGTAGCGGTTTGAGGACGAGGAGACATGGTGGAAGACCTTGAGGACGTTTCATCAGTTGGACGCCCATTGTACATGATGGCATCGTCGCTTGGGCCTTCGGGCGCAGCCGGCGCGTCGACGACAAGGGGCGAGCCGACATCAACAGAAAGATTGGAGTCGGGTAGATCAGCATCGTGGACTTGATCATCGTCGCGTGACTGCCAGTTAGGACGAGGCTGATGTTGAACATCGTCAGGACATGTCGAGAAACTGTAAGACCGAGGCGAAGCGGGTTCGACCGGCGGATTTGATGATGGTGTTGGCATTGTTGTGACGTGTGATGGGAGATGATGCAATTAAACAGCGAAAATGTCGACGCGCGAATAGACAGAAGTTCATAAAGAGGACACAGAAGGGTCGTGGGTATCAAATCGACCAGTGGATCACATATGTATGTATGTATGTATGTATGTATGTATGTTGCGAGGATATGACTGACGTCGAGCGCTGTTGGAGGTTAGAGGGGAGAACAAGCAAGTTAGTGCTAATCACCAAAACGGGTGGCGATCTCGGGGACTAGCGACTTTGTTAAGAGTTGAACGGGGCGCCTGAAAGCCCTCTAGAAAGCAAAAAACGTGCCCATCACAAAAGTTGGGGGGGAGAGAGTGGTGTAATAATACAGGAGAGGTGGAAGGAAGCAGGTTAAAGCATGGATGCCAGATCACATATGGATGGATAGGTAGGTAGGTATGGGTCGATGATCACTGATGGATGGCAAGAAAAGGGTCAAAGTCGGTCGGTGATGCTGCTGGGTTGTCTTCCATTTTCATATCGACGGACGAGGGGCTTGATTTGCTGCCATCCGGGGTTTCTATAGGTACTGTACCTAGCGGATTTGTAGGTGGGCCATCCACTCCACTCGGCAAGACGGGGAGTCTTCCAAGTCTCCCTAGCTCATGATTTTTTACAGTGTCTTGGGTACCTACCTTAGGTAGAGGGTAGATGCCGTGTAACTTGGGGTATGCAACTCCTTAAACAACATGATGGACTCATTAAATCGGAGTAATGATGGGAGAGAAGAATCTATATGGAAAGATCCGACAAACAAGTCTTACCGACTCCTATACCTACAAGATTTACTCAGGTACCAAACAGAGCCTTCTTCCCTAGGTGCAGAAGGAAAAATAAGCAGCGTGCTAACGGCGAAAAAAGCCCAAGAAGATCGAGGAGATTAATTATCCGTATTTCCATTGTCTGTCACTCGACTTTGCGAGGTCTTTGTGGGAAGCTTTGCCTACTTCCCCGGGTGACATGTAACTTGAGAAGATGCAAATCAAGGTGACTTCTCCACCAAGTATGATTGATTCCTTTTCATCTTCGGCTGAGATGCGAGGCTTGTTGACCAGGGTCTACTTGCTTGGGTCTCCCTAGGTCTAGGTCCAGTCCCAGTTCCGCCTTATTATTAGCGGGCCATTATGAAGCTTAACAAGACCTTTCCCACTGTTATAAGGGAATTCTCGCAATTGAGTTTTTACCTAGAAGTGGCGACGAGGATTCGCCCTCAGAACTCGCATTGTCGACACCTCCCGTCTCTCATATTCAAAATCAGATGCTTCCTCATGCAAATGGCATGGACAAGAAGAATTGGGCTGTTTCCGTGCCGTGCCCCCAGAATGGAAGCGCCCAGGCGCCATCGGGCAGCCCCCAGTAACCCCCCCACCACGTTGCCGCTTGCATTTCGTATGGGGTGATGGGCCTCTAACTTAACTTGAGGAGACATGATGCACACGCCAACTCCGAGACAGACCGTTTTGTTTTGCTTTGCTGGCATGATCTGAAATCATCATACAGCGTTGGCAATTTCCATCTCAATCTCGCATCATCATTGTTTCCTCCACGGGTCTACCCGTCGCCTATTCATTAGCCTTTGCATTATTGGAGCCTCCGCCACCTGCATCCGCATCATCTCTTCTAACTTCTAAGTCACTTCTGTTTGCCTTTTATCCTGGAAGTGGCATCTCATTATTGATTGATTGCTTTGCAAGTGCAGAGAGCTTTTCCAGACCGCTTACTCAACCTCACATGTGAGCCTGCCCAGGGAGTCTGGTCCAAGCGTGTGTTACTCAGGTCTTGATTAGGATTGCATATGTATTGCAGGCTGAACTATAGAGCATAAGTTATGGCATGATCCGACTCGTGTTATCAGGTACGATTGATATTTAGCAAATAACTCCATTCCCTGTCGTACCACATCCCCCTGAGCATTATCATTATCCCAAGATTTCACGCCTGTGACTCCCAAATGTTCCCCTTGCTCTCTGATCGAAGAAGTTCGATGAGTATCTAGTGATATCCCACCTACCCGACAATAGTGCACAAAAGACTTTTCTATGGGGTCGCTGTTGTGGTGATATTGTTCTTTCAGTCGTGATATTTAAACATGGCTTGTTTCTGGTAATCGTTCGCGCCTTTCTTTCACAGCCCGGGTATTGTTCTTAGCTACAGCCGAATCATCACCTCTATCATCGAGATTTGGATCCTCGACTTTTCGATCCCATAACACCGCATCCCATTCTTTTGAGTCGGGCCCGTCCTTTAAATTGGCTTGATCTTGAAGTGCAGAGCGATCAAGCTGAAAACTAGAGCCTTGAGATCCTGAACAAGGTAGTAGAACACTCGTAGACCTTCTGGGTCAGCAGACTCAGTGACATCCACCAGGGATCCAATCTTGGCGGTCTGCTGTGCTGTCAGTCGTGATCCGAAATATGGTGCCTCAATGACCGACCTCGAACGCGATATGATCGTTACCAATCCGAATCTCCAATTCCTGGCGTCCGTCTTTGTTCTTCTGAGGCCATTTCGAATCATCTTCTCTACATTGGGTTAGCCATGTTCAGGCAAGGCCACTGGATATTCGGTTCGCCGTACTTGGTGATCTCGCTCGTCTTGATGATGCGCTTAATTTCGTCGACAACTACTGAGCTGACACACACTATGACTTATCAGAAATGCTGATTCCGCAGGGCTAGTCGCATTCCTTACTCTCTTTTCGGATCAAACTATCGTTTCGGTAGTTGGAGTTGTTAGCATATCGGGCGACCGCGCTGCGACCATCGCCGACGACTCGAAAATCGAATTCTAAGGGCGAAACACGTTAGAATGACTTTAGAACGGTAGATGGACATCACATGGCTATTCGTACCAAGGAATTCATGACCGAAACGACCCATATGGCCAGAGCTGTTTGAAGGGACGTCTTTAGCATCGTTTCGCGACAATCAATTAGACGGGGAAGCTAGAAGAACCCGTGATGATAGACTTACTAGTATCGCAAATAGAACGGTTCGCTTGAGGACGTCATTTTTGCTGCTGTGGGAAGGCGGCAAGACTGGCTGGTGGTATTACTCGAGTCAAGATTTATCAACTATCACACTCAAGATCGCAAGGCTGAGAAAGAATCGCGGGACCTGGCCTGGTGGTAGAAGACGGGTGCACGGACCATATTCGGCGGGGCAGAACAGCTTGACGACAGCGACACCTCAGGTGTAAGACCTTCACCGTCGGTAGCCAACTAAGGTAAGGTACCTACGCGGCTCTGGAAGTACATCAGATGTCAATGGAACCCAAAGCTTGGGTAGCTTTCAACAAGGCAATACCACTACACCAGATCTAAAGGTAGTCTTCTGATGGTTGACTGAGCCATAAACCATCGTTTAAAAACTTCTGAAGGCTTCTTTTCTAAGGATTACCGCCCTCAATGTTCAGTCAAGGATATAGAACTCAACATTGAATGGGTAGCCTCAAAGTACCAAACACCCCTTGTTGTATCACGTGACAGCGTCCCTCACATCAAGTCGCTTAGTGCCACCTGTTCGACATCGCTGGCAGGACAGATCTTCTTGAAGTTGATGCCGTCCAGAGCTGGTCCAAATTACCACAGGGGATTCTGGTAAAAGCTGTTAGCGATTGCGCGCCAGATACAATTCAGCGAATGGCCAAGGCGGATTCTGCTACTCGTTCTGACAATTAAAGCTCTAAAGCAGCTTGAACCCCTGAGCTGAGCCTCCCCACCGCCGAAGTCGACACCACCTTACCTCTAATCCACCTCCAAACGTCCCCCTAAGAGCCACGTCCCATCTACAACAACCACTCCCACCAACTTTCTCGGCCAGCAACTGGCGACACTCTTCAAGATGTCTGGCTTTCTTGAGAATGCGTACAGTCTCGTTCACCAGGACAATGCGGCCGACGTCCCCACCGTTTCCGATCTGCGCATGCAGCTCGAGAAGGGCACCGATGAGACCAAGGTCGAGACTATGAAGCGCATCTTGACCATCATGCTCAATGGCGATCCTATGCCCAGTCTTCTAATGCACATTATTCGTTTCGTCATGCCTTCAAAGTATAAGCCTCTCAAGAAGCTTCTTTACTTCTACTACGAAATATGCCCCAAGCTTGACAGCAGCGGCAAGCTCAAACAGGAGATGATTCTAGTTTGGTACGGCTACGCCCTTAGCACTACTACTACTACTACTACTACTTATATGCCATGATATTTGATCGCTGCGATGGGCTTTTGCTGACAATGCGTCCGTAGTAACGGTATCCGAAACGACCTTCAACATCCCAACGAATACATTCGAGGAAACACCCTGCGCTTCCTTTGCAAGTTGAGGGAAGCCGAGCTCATTGAACCTCTCCTCTCTTCAGCACGATCTTGTCTCGAGCACCGACATGCCTACGTCCGAAAAAACGCCGTTTTTGCCATCGCCTCCATTTTCTTGCACTCGCCCTCCCTGATTCCAGATGCCTCCGAACTCATTTCGACTTTCCTCGAGGGAGAGAGTGACGGTGTTTGCCGAAGGAATGGCTTTGCCGCTCTTGTTAGCATTGACCATGATGCTGCCCTCGTTTACCTTAGTTCCGTTTTTGAAGGCATTCCCAATGCAGAGGAGCTTCTTCAGCTTGTCGAACTTGAGTTCATTCGCAAGGATGCGGTTCAGAATTCCCAGAACAAGGTTTGTCCGATAATTACTCACGGAGGAGGTTGAATAGCCACTGACTGTTTGATAGGCACGTTATCTGCGATTGATCTTTGACCTGCTAGAAGCTGGCGCTTCAACTGTCGTATACGAAGCTGCCTCATCTCTTACTGCTTTAACCAACAATCCTGTTGCAGTCAAGGCTGCCGCCGCCAAGTTCATTGAGCTGAGCATCAAGGAAGCCGATAACAATGTCAAGCTGATCGTTCTTGACCGAGTTGATCAATTGCGCAAGAAGAACGAGGGTGTTCTTGATGACCTGACCATGGAGATCCTCCGAGTTCTGTCCAGTACCGATATCGACGTCCGACGAAAGGCTCTTGGTCTCGCCCTTGAGATGGTATCTAGCAAGAATGTTGAGGAGGTTGTCCTCTTACTCAAGAAGGAACTCTCCAAGACAGTCGACCAGGAATACGAGAAGAATACCGAGTACCGATCTCTCCTTATCCACTCTATTCACCAATGCGCCATCAAGTTTTCCGAGGTCGCAGCGAGCGTCGTGGAGCTGCTTATGGATTTTATTGCCGACTTCAACAACGCTTCCGCTGTCGACGTTATCAACTTTGTCAAGGAAGTTGTTGAAAAGTTCCCCAATCTGCGCACTACCATTATTGAGCGTCTTGTCTCCACCCTGGGTGAGGTCCGAGCTGGCAAGGTGTACCGTGGCATCATGTGGATCATTGGTGAGTACTCTCTCGAAGAGAAGGACATTCGAGAGGCTTGGAAGAGGATACGAGCTAGCCTTGGTGAAATGCCCATTCTCGCATCGGAGCAACGGCTACTGGATTCCCACGATACTGAGGAGCAGACCGATGATCACATCAACGGAGCATCGAAGCCGGCCGCACCATCTGGCTCCCGCAAGGTCCTGGCTGATGGCACATATGCTACCGAGACTGCTCTTACCAGCCAGTCTTCAGCAGCTGCCAAGTTGGAGGCTGTCAAGACTGCCCAGAAGCCTCCTCTGCGACAACTCATTCTCGATGGAGACTACTATCTGGCTACTGTTCTGTCATCTACTCTCGTCAAGCTTGTCATGCGGCATCATGAGATTTCCTCGGATAAGGCTCGAACTAATGCTCTCCGGGCTGAGGCCATGCTGATTATGATTTCTATCATCCGAGTCGGACAGTCTCAGTTTGTCAAGGCTCCCATCGATGAGGACTCTGTAGACCGAATCATGTCATGTGTACGCTCATTGGCCGAGTTTGAGAAGAAGAAGGAGCTTGAGACCGTTTGGTTGGATGATACCCGCAAGGCCTTCCGAGCCATGGTCCAGGTGGAGGAAAAGAAGCGAGCCGCCAAGGAGGCTTTCGAGAAGGCTAAGACTGCTGTGCAGGTTGATGATGTTGTCCAAATTCGACAACTAGCCAAGAAAAACACCACTGAAGGCCTCGATGAGATCGAGGTGGATCTGGAGAGGGCGACTGGTGGTGAGGGCACCGCTGAAGACCTGTCTTCCAAGCTTAGCCGTGTGGTTCAGTTGACCGGGTTCTCGGACCCCGTATATGCTGAAGCATATGTGAAGGTTCACCAGTTCGATATTGTTCTCGACGTCCTTCTTGTCAACCAGACGACAGAGACACTTCAAAACCTCTCAGTCGAGTTCGCCACGCTTGGTGACCTCAAGGTTGTCGAGCGACCTACTACACAGAACCTGGGCCCTCATGACTTCCACAACGTGCAATGCACAATCAAGGTTTCATCAACAGACACTGGTGTTATCTTTGGTAACGTCGTGTATGACGGTGCTCACTCTACTGATACTAATGTCGTTATTCTTAACGACCTACACGTCGACATCATGGACTACATCCAGCCCGCCACTTGTACAGAGACTCAATTCCGCACTATGTGGACTGAATTCGAGTGGGAGAACAAGGTCAACATCAACTCTAAGGCTAAGTCGCTACGTGACTTCCTCGACCAGCTTATGGCCTGCACAAATATGAACTGCCTGACACCAGAGGCCAGTCTCAAGGGTGACTGTCAATTCTTGAGCGCCAACCTTTACGCGAGGAGTGTGTTTGGTAAGTTATTCTATTCTCTGGTAATTGTTGGATTATGCTAACCATGGACTTAGGCGAGGATGCTCTCGCTAACCTGAGCATTGAGAAGGAGGGCGAGGATGGACCCATCACTGGTTTCGTCAGAATAAGAAGTCGATCACAGGGCTTGGCGCTGAGCTTGGGCTCTTTGAAGGGACTTAACAAGATCGGGTCCACGGCCTAGGTCAGCTGATATACGTACAAACACCTGAATCTAATTACGAGAAGGGTTGTCTCAGCGTTGCACGATTCATGACGATGGTTGGAGCGGAGTCAGGGTCGGAGCATGATAATGGGTGTTTTCCCACCAAAAGGCTGTGCGATGGGTCCCTGGTAGAGTTCATTGTAAGCAGCTTTAGGTAGACGTTGATTACAAAGGCACATGGTTTCATACAGGATCACAGTCAGAGCCAGTGGCTATCACGAAGTGTGGTTAAATAGCCCGGCTTTCTCGTTCAGAACAGGGAAAAGTGATATTAGCGAGGGCATTGCCGAACTTTTGTTGGTGCCCTGTCGAGTGCCTTGTTGGGCTTATATACATGTGTATAGTAAGGACAACGGCTGTTAATAGTATCCAAAATCAATCTCGACACAAGGGGATATGAGAAGAATATAAGTGTTGGGGAAATCATCGCTAGACCAGCAGCATCCACAAACTCCAAAAGACACAGACGTGGTAAAGGCAGCATAAACGATATAGGGTATTGTCCAAGAGTGGCCGACCGTAGCGGATCAATAAAAGGCAAAGCTGCCATTGAGATAAGTTGACGATGAGGGTGAAGGGTTTTGGCTAAGACAAAAGTTCAGGGGCCAGTTTGCTTGGTGTCTGGCGTTGGGATGATAGCGGTGGGGCACAATCAAATGTCAAAGACAAGGGCATTGACGACATGGCCAGTCTGCCAGTTTTGTGCCGTGAGAGACAGATTGTCCTTAAGAATCTTACCCATGTATGCTATTCTGATCTTCTTGGTTGATGCAAGCTAGGTGTTGTCAGCATTCTGTTTGGTCGCCAGAGAATCAGCAAGGTATTGTACTTACGCCAGCCTCGAGAGCAATCTTTTTGGCTACACTACGAACAGTGTCCGACTCATATATGGTGACGTTGATATCTTGGCCGTTCTCACTGAGCCTGGCTCGTAGTTTGACTGACTCTTGGGCATCGTCTACCTCTTTGCCCTTTTCTTGTTTCTTACCCTCCATCTCTTCGTCACTCAGTTCTTCATCCGCTGCTGTGTCGTCGCCAGCATTTGAGAGATTGCTCTTTGCGCCGTCTTCTCGATCCTCCTGCACATTCAGCGGATCGCAAACAACCCATTCCGGCAATTGATAGTAGTTTCCTAGGGAGTCGTAGACGCCATTGGAGAGGTTGCCAGTCGGGAGAGAGATCTCAGCAGCGGACAGAATAATCTGAGCCGTCGCAAGGCCATTGGAACCGTCATCTTGCACGTCCTGGCCCGCTGGATCCCACAAGACGGCCAGCGCCGCATGAATAGTCTGCCATATCTCGGGCCTGCCGGTGACTCTTGTATCGAAGAAGGCAGTTCGTTCCTTTACCAGCTCGCTCTTGGTCCATGTGCGATCGCGCGAAGTCCACTCGTGTCGTCGCAAAGGCTTATCGATATGCTGATCCAGGGGACGATTACTACGACGGTGCTGGCGACGTCTTTCGGCGGGGATTTGCGGTTGAGCAGCTTCTGGGAGTGCGAGTGGGGGAGGATTGATAGCGCGGGACGAAGCGTTTGGTGCGCCACCTGGGTAGGGAGAGTTGGGACCAGAAGAACGAGAGAGGCAGCAGCCCTAGAAGTGGAATGTTAGAGGTGATGATATGTTTATGTTGCAAGCAGAGAAGAGCCGGACCATGTTTGCTACGCTACAAGGGGCGGAGGGCGACGATCGCCGTTGACCTGTGGATTGAAGGTAGGTCTTGTTAAGGAATGAGGATCCCAACTTTAGTGACTAGCCATCGCTGGCCAAAGTAAGGTCGCAGATCGATCAGATCAGATCAGATCAGATGGGACGGCCAGTGCAGTGTAGGTATAGTTAGTGTAGTGTATGTAGCGTGGTGTATTTGGCGGGTGTAGAAGATGTCGCAGTTGAGTGATTGACTGACTGAGTGACTGACTGAACGAACGAACGAAAGAGGAGATGGAGATGAACACTGAGGAGATGGACGCACGAAGGAGGCGCAGAAAGAAGATGAAGGATGTACTAAGTATTATGTATGTATATATGGAAGTAATGGATGTGTATGTGTATGTGTGTGCGTATGCGTATGATGTGAATGGTTACAAACGGGAGCCGAGTCTGTTTGTTGGCTGGGCTTTGCTTTGCTTTGCGTTGCTTCTGGAGCCCGCCGAACCTATCGAATCTTTCTTTTGGGGGCTCTCCCACCAAAAGTCACAGCCTGGACAGACCCGACCAGGCTAGAGCAGACCGGGCAGGGGCAGGGGGAGGGAGGGCGTAAAAGCGGGACAAACTTAGAGCCTAAAAAAAGGAACAAGACTAAGACGAAGACGAAGAAAAAGAAGAAGTTTTGTTGTTGGTCAATCTTTTATTGGTTTAGTTAGGTGATCAAGTTGAATCTTGGTCGAGTAAAAGAGGTGAGAGGGGTGAAATGTCAATTGACATGAGTTGCATTCAATTGCTTGTTCTGTCTGATCCAGTCAATCAATGAATTGCCTGATCATTGATTGATTGCATGGCCCAGCAGGGATGGATCGATATAGGGAGATAGTTAGATGTTGGTCAATGTGACGAAAGATTAAGCTCAAGTCGTCAGTCATAGAGCCCGGGGGAGACGCGGCCTTTTATGTAGTATGATATCAGCACACAGTGTGATGGAGAGCTTGGTATATGCCTCGATGTACTTGTTATCACAGGATAATCCCGTCCATCAGTGGCTCAGTCTACCTACTAACTATAGGTAAGGTACCTATGTACTGCCATCGGTCACTGGAGGTATCACCACCAAGTTGAGTCTCGTTGGTGGGGTTTTGTATGAGCAGACCAGGCAGGGAGGGGTTGGTTCCCAGACTGATTGATTACCTACGTACTGATATAAATACTAATGACGACCTTGTATTATAGATCTCGTGCTTCTCATATGCAACATCAAGGCCATGGCCAGGAATGCCCTTGTTTATTGTGAAACACCGCCATCTACCTAATCTTGACTACTTGTCAATTCACAGATCAAGAGAATCTCGATCAACTCTCTAGACAAGGCCTTTTAACGTCCAAGACAAGTCAGTATTTTATTTTTACAAGAGAGAATCCTCCTGAGGTTTTTCTATACTACAGTCCAGTTACAAAACATCCATGGTACTCACCTTGACATTCACCGAAACAGGGGCCAATCAGCATGTGGCTTTTACTTGACAGGCACCTACCAACTAACTAACTCAGATTCAGCGCTTCACCGTGGGTGGGCTCTAACTCTTCAAGCTCGACAATGGATCTTTGCTGTACACCAGACAGAGCATGAATGATCTGAGTTCTTTTTAAGTACTCTTCTCAGACAATTATTCCTAATTTCTTTTAATAATACATGTTTCCATCTTTCATTTCTCTTGGTCTTGATTTCTCACCATCAACGCAGCGTCACACACCGTCTCTGAGCCAAAAACAAACAACCGATCCTCTCTGACAACACTGCACAATCAACATGGCTACGATGCTAAAAGCCACAGAACGCCATTTCTACTTCCACGGCAAAGAGGTATGTACTCACCCAATCTCATGTCAGTTGTAGCTATGACTAATCCAACTTGCAGGGCTATGAAGTAGAGCGCAATACTTGTCACTGGTGTCAGATTCGCGCTTTTCCGACCCATTCAACACTCCCAGTGACAGTTGTTAACGAACAAGACGATGAGGTACTCCCCGATGACTTTAGGTTCATAAACAACGTCGTCCTTGGTAAAGGAGTTGAGCAAGCTGGTGATAGCTTCCGCAGCGGCTGCTCCTGCGCCAAGGACTCGGAGTGCCAATACACAAGTTGTCACTGTCTCGCCGATTTAGAAGACGGCGATTCTAGCGATGAAGAGGAGTTGGATGCCTTTGGTGACAGGATAGAGAGAACCACACCAAAACCTCGGAGGATAGCATATGCTTACCACTCCCACGGGGCAAAGGCCGGTCTCTTGCGCTCCAAGTTCCATAGTTCAAAGATGCCTATCTACGAGTGCCACCAAAGCTGCTCCTGTAGTATGGACTGCCCGAATCGCGTCGTCGAACGTGGCAGAACGATTCCTTTGGAGATATTCCGTACCCCAGACCGCGGATGGGGTGAGCGTCATTCTCATCCTTGACGAACAAACAATTCACTAACCAAAATAAATAGGAGTGAGATCTCCCGTGTCGATTAAGAAGGGCCAGTTCGTCGACCGATATCTCGGTGAGATCATTACATCAAATGAAGCAGATCGACGGCGCTCACAGTCTGCTATTTCCCAACGTAAGGATGTTTACCTATTTGCTCTCGACAAATTCACAGACCCCGAGTCATTCGACCATCGGTTGAAGGGTCCATCCCTTGAAGTAGACGGTGAATTCATGTCTGGCCCGACGCGATTCGTCAATCATTCATGCGACCCCAACATGCGGATCTTTGCGCGCGTGGGTGACCACGCTGACAAGCATATTCACGATCTTGCCTTGTTCGCAATCAAGGACATACCTGAGGGTGAAGAGCTCACATTTGACTATGTTGATGGGGTTTCACACGAGGGAGAGGAATCAGGTGGCGACATCGATCATATGACTCGTTGTCTATGCGGAAGCAAGAAGTGCAGGAAGTTCTTGTGGTGACGGTTTTTAACAGCCAAATGAACCTCCTTGCAAGGGAGGTATCTGAATGCAAGTCAGACTTTAATCTAATCATACTCCAAGCTTCTGGCAGGGACTCGCCTCCCCTTGAGTTCACTTAAACATGAAAATAACATGTCACATTTTGCGCCAGTTTCTATATCTGGCTGTCTCCTTGTTCTTTGATACACAGGAGTGACCCAGGGGCTGACCAGGCTCAGGTCCTTTGTGAACATATCCGCGTTCTTTGTTCCCCGTTGTTCTTTGAGATGAGCTAGGGACAATTCTTTGCAGACTTTCGTTTCGTATTGGGTATTGAATGAACAGTCACAAGTTACCCGAAGTGAACGTTGAGAAATGGTGTTCGTTCATATAAGCTTTTCATCCATGCCCGAGATTTCGCGACTCTCTCGCTTTATTTCCCCCTTATCGTTGATATTTTCAAATCCATTTCTGTGTTCAATCATGGAGCACACAAGTAACCTATCAAGTCCCGTTCCTGTTGTTTCTTCATCTCCATCGTCCACTTGTGTTAACCCAGATCCCGTCTCATCGGATGCCCCAAATGACCACCACGATGGGTCTCGACAACCGGAGAATGATGGCAGCATCAACGAACCTCCAGTCGACCTTCAGGGGCCGCCTCCTGGCTGTATCTCAAGCATCATGGAAACCCACCGAGGCAGATCTCAGCCTGTCAAAGAGAAGAAAGCCACCAAAGGCTGGCTTAGCGCAGAAGTATGCCTCAAGTATCTACTCCGTGTGTGCGAAAACACTCCGTACAACGGTTCGGGTGGTATTCACACTAGGCAGGTCTCTCGCTGTCTCCGCCGCTCACGACTTATGCGTCGGGGCTTGATTCGTGGCCAATTTGACAGAGGGAGAGGAAATCCATCCGTCAACTGGTGCAACAAAGAGCAGTGCGACTACGAATTCATCATCTTCACAAACCCCACTATCTACCTCGGGAACTGCCCGAAAAGCTCTCAAGGATTGCATGCCGATGTATACTTTCACGACTTTGCTAATGCCATGGTCACGAAGCTCTTTGCCCCTGAGGACAGCAAGGCCAAGAGGCCTAAGGCCCTAGAGATAATGTCTTTCGTAGATTCTCCCCCTGTCCGAGTTGCATTTTCTCATTTTATCGAATGGTACAACTTGCTAGGCTTCACACTATCTGATCGCCAATTCATTCGAGCTTTGGCTGCAGTTCAGCCAGTGTTCCAGGGTCTCATGTTTGGGGTCAAGACAGCAGCGAGGGTTGATGCTATTCACGGATACATCCTCCCTGAAACAGAAGACATGAAGCAGTGGGCTCCTAGCCAGCTCATCCTACGCTTTCTCGTCTGGTGCGAAATATGGCGCCAGCAAAAGACATCTCGCTCAAAATCTTGGAAACTCGGTTCCACTCGAACTGCGACCGAGTTTCTTACTGCCGTGCTTCTCAACTACAAGATGATGTGGCGAGAAGGCTGTTTGCAAACAAGTACCATCGAGACGAACCTGGTCTGGGATCGAGTCTGGGACAATTGGTTACGCAAATACTCTCTACAGGAAATAGACGAGGTTGTCAATGGCGAGTTCTTCTATCCTCGAGATCAGCTAGACATGTCGGAGGAAGAGGTTTATCAAGAGGTGGGATATCTTGGAGGTATTGGCCAGTGTGATGATGTTTATAGGCCAACCAAGTGTTTTCTAGGCTATGCAGAGGATAGGCTGATGCGTTTATGAGATGTTGAGTTTGAGAGGACACCATTAAATAGGCACAAAAGGTAGATCGGTTTAGATATTTTGTACTTCCTTCGTTTATGATGTTATTTGACAGTCGCAAGTCTCAAACGTATTGGTTCAGGGCAAGACTTGAGTTCCCAACAACCCTTCTCTCCTCCTTTTCAACTTCTGTCCAGGGCCGGGCCATGCTCTTTGTGGAATTCAAGCTACAAGGCGGTCAGAGAGTAACTTGCAGGTTACTGGAAAGGTGTACCCTATGAGTCGTATAGCCGAGCTGAGGAATTCATTTGCTTTCAGCTATTGGAAGGCCAAGTTTATCCCTCTGGCCAAGAAGCCATGCCTCGGCTGCTGCTTCGTCTGCCTCCTCATGATCAAGTTGCCATTCAAGCAGGCCTTCGATCGCTCTGGCAAGGAATTTCCCTCCCTGCTTGACCCCAAGAGCCTTTTTTATGGCGTTTCCATCCAGGATTGGCCTTAGTGACGAAACCGAATCCAGCCCCTGTTTCTGGGCAAATGAGAGCAGGGCTTCGTGTCTCTATAAAACTTTATCTATTTCCTCCTGGCTCGAGTCTGGAGATTCCGGTTGTGGCCTCAAGTATACTATCCCTCCAAGAGCCGAGAAAAGAACCTGTAGGCCCCATAAGACTCCCCATCTTCGGATCCTCATCCCTATTGTGCCCCGGGATGGAGTAGAGCTGACAACCAGTTCCGTGGTGGATCGAATAGATTCCAAGTTCCCTAGAGACGATTCGATAAGCTTGTAAAGTTGCCTGGTGCCCCTCGGGGCATTTATAGCTTCGTCAACGGCAAGCTTATGATCCTTGGTATTCAGCCCTGCCAACGGAGTATAGGCGACCATCGCCCAAAGCATGTCTTTTTGTTTCTCCGATTCCATCAAAGACCAAAAATCTCTTGCTGGATCCTGCGCTAACATCGTGATAGCGTTGATTGCCCGAGACCAAGTGGGTGGCCATGGCCTTTCGGGTTCCTGGGGGAGGAGATGACGAAGGGGCTCATGCAGAGGAGAGCGCAACGACAGGAAGACAGTTCCATAAAGATCGGTCTTGTGGGTTAAGGAAAAGGATAGCTCGGGATTCCGGTTCTTGATCGTCTTAGAGACCTCGATCCCAACTCTCTCTCGGCTGACCTTCTCGTCAAGAGCAGCGTGAATTTCGTGCTCTTTGATGCAGCTCAGAGCTTCGGGATCAAGAGTGAAACCGAGTTTACTGCCTATGCGAATGAGACGTAGCACGCGCAAGGGATCGTCGAGAAAGGTCTGCCTCGGCTCGAGTGGTGTCCGCATTATGCCAGCATACAGATCATCCAGGCCTCTGCGAGTAAAGTCGGCAACCTTTCGGTTTTGCAGGTCAAAGAACAGGGCATTTGCAGTTGCATCACGTCTGAAAGCATCTTCCTCAGCGGTGCCAAACTCCATTTCTGGAGTACGGCAATTATCGTCGTAGACCTCCTTGCGCAAGTTGACAAGATCTAGGTCTAAGCCGAAGATCCTTCCAACAGCAGTTTCTAGTTTTTTTTGACTTGTCGAGGTTCTTTTTAGTTGAATGAAAGCCATTAAACTGCTTGAACTCGATCCCCAAATCCAAGGCTCGCTGCCGGTAAGAGGCTTCATTCTGCTTGAGGAACTCCGTCAGAAGACTGCCGAATTGCACACCAGTCATGGTACTAAGAGCGATGTCTAAGTCGGAACATGGGATTCCCAGAAGTCGATCTCTCACCCAACCACCAGTTATCCATATCTCCAATTCTTGAGTCACCAACTGTTGTCGACACCCAAGCAGAAGATGGCGGAGTAGTTCTTCGGCTGGTAACAAATCTATCGTTGTTGCTCGTCCGGGAGCCAGTTTTGACGAAGACATTGCAACGAATCAGCAAACTGGTCAAGATTTCTGTTTGTCGATATGCGCCTGGTCCAGAACGTCTGACTTTGTTTCATCTTCAACCGTTTTACCCGAAGGTTCCATGAAAGCTGTTTAGAGGTGATGGCATGGAATTGGGTAGATGAGTCAGAGTCACATGGGCCAGCTTTCGCAGCCTTCCTAGTCAGGTCTCAAGCAAATGTTACAGAAGCACACTCCTCGCTCTCCACGATGTGGCTAACAGTTGAAAGCAATCTTCAAACAAAATTAGTAGATATAAACAGCAAAAAACATACAACAGCGGGGATTCGCTGGTCGTCACCGACCCAACTACTAATCCGCCGGTTAGTGGCTTGACTATGGGAGAGCAGACGGGATCCCGTATTTTCCACTACCTATGGTCGTATGTGCTTGGTGTGCTGACAATTTGGGTTATACCCGTGGGATAAGAATATGCAAGTACGAGATGATCATGGACTACGTGCCCGTTCTTGTCCACTCGGTGATCTATATCTGACCAATGTCTCCTTGAGCTTGGGTCTTGTTGGTCAAACCCCCGTTCACCTTGATCCCTAAACTGCCTTTATGCTGCAACCCAGACTGTTACGACCTTGATGCGTTGGGATTGAAGCGAAGAGTGAAGCGCTTGCTCGAGGATGTCTCCCTTCCCATTGAAACTCGAAGCCGCTCGCCTCAAAATCTAAGGGCCGTTTGCTCAGTTGCTGCATAGTAACCGGGCCGTCTTGATCTCAATCATGCCGGGAAGAAGCATGTAACTGCCGGTCCGGATTATGGAGATAGACGTTCGCTCGGTTGCGAAACCTCCGTTTCAGAGAAGAAAAGAGAATATGCAAGCTGTTTTCTCACCGCAAATGACATTTCACACAAACTGAAATGGGCCTTGAATCCATGAAATGATGGCGTCCGTGAGTTCACACACACCGTGGGGGATGGTCTGTAAATCAGCCAATGAGAAAGGTTCAAAGGTACGGTCTTAGTGGATATGTAATGTTGATCTGCAACGCGGGGTTACAGTGTGTGCTTGCCAGATTATCACAAGATGGTCAGAAAGAGCCGATGTCTTGATATCCAGAAGCTTCACGATGTGACTGTGGGAATGAAAATATCACGCCTGAAAGATGAAGCTGTTGCCGAGAGGAACTGGGCCATGACCTTGCGTGGAGCCGGTAATTGTCTAGGCTGTGGTGGATGGAGCCTAGCTGGACCCTTGAATTCTCCATAACGGATGCAGAGCCGAATGAGGCTGAAAGTGTTGCAAGCAAAGGGACGGGACACACACAATGCAAATGAATAAATGCGGATACGGCGCAAAAGAGGAGTACAGTATTTGGTCTGTTACATTTTGCTGCAAGGAGCTTTTGTTATCTGGCCTGGTTCTCTGCTATAACTACCTAGCGGACTGAGCAGTCAGTTGTGAATGCCTAAGCAGCAAGACGAAGATCTAGAGGGGTCCGATTTGTATGATTGGCGGATCATAGTAGGTATGCATTTAGCCAAGTGCTGGCTGTATGTAACGCGTGAAATGGAAGACGCGGGGAAACGCTGCTTTACTCAAAGGGGTTGTATGCGCAGGCGCCATGTTCTAACGTTGGACAGTTTCTGCAGCAGCAGTCCAAGAGACGCGTCTTCAGCTAACTACGTGTTCCTGTATCCGGCCGTGCTGTAACACGAGACACAATCTGATGCCAAGGTGAACAAGAGATGCGGGGAAAGCGGACAGTGACCGAAAGGGTGCAATACAGAAACGCAAATAGGGGGGGGAAAGAAAACAGAAGAAACGCATGTCTCGCCGTGTCTGTGTCTGGTGGTGTGAGAATGAAGCATTGTTAGAGACGGGGCGAGGTAGAGATGTGCAACAGATGCAGATGCAAGATGCACGAGACATTGAATGTGGTGCCACTAAAATCGGGGAGAGGGTCAACTGCAACTCAGCAATAGATCCCAGCCATGGGAAGAAGAAAAACAGGAGATTTCACCCAAGAGCCGGCATTAGATACCATTAGGGGACGACAATGGATGGATCTCAGTATTGGAAAAATGACCAGGCCACTCAACCCCCAAGAAAGGCCATGGTGAGGTCATGGTGGTGAGACTAGAGAGCATGCCCCCACTGTTGGCCGTGGATAGGTGCCGTTGTTTGGTGGGAGCTTTACCTTGGTCGAATGTTTTTCAGTGGAATAAAAAGATTGGATCTGGGGCAGATGCCAGAAAGTGACAGTGACGACGACGACGAAAATGTGAGACCCGACTCCAGCCGAGAATGGCTTCATTGTGAACTTATCGTTAATACTCTCCTTATTCCAGCAATTCCATCCTCTGCCTGCTTATGCTCAGTAGGCCTCAATCTTGTCGGTCAAAGAATCAACAACACATCAATTCTCTTTACAGAGGCACAAGCCAGTAAAAGAGAACAAGACCAAAAGACTCCGACCAATACAATCCTTCCCGACCCCGCCTCAATTCAAGCTCATCCCGCATCGTGCCACACGCTAACACTAAACGCCCACTCCCGCTCCATCCACAGCTTTCCCCACTTCACCATCAGAGCGTGTACCTTTACGCTTTTGGGCATTTTCTACAGGGAGATCATTCCCCAAGGTCCCCTTCTGTAGAGGCAGGTTTAGTCGGGCTCCAGGGCAGGCACCTGATCGCTGTTCGGCTTCTGTGCCGCTCCTCTCTCTGCCTGCTATGCACTCTGCGGGGGCGCACTCACACCCCCGCCCCACTGCTTCCACTGCCCTGTGTCTGAACTTCAAGGCTCGAGTCTCTCTGGGTATCGCCCATCGCCGCCATCCCAAGGGCGTCTTGTCGTTCGATCATGACCCCAGTTCGTCAAGGTACCTATTGTCCAAGTCCGGGGTTCTCGTTAGCCGGAGATGCACTGCACTGCACTACACTCGACGTAGCAACACATATAGAATAAGGTACACATTTCTCACTTGAAACAATTATCAGGAGAGACAACTTATAATAACTCTCGTCCGCTCTATTCTCCCCCCAACCGTTTTCCTGCTTCCTCCTCCCATCATTAGACTAGTTCAAGTACGGTTTACTATTACCGAGTTACATTTAACTTACCTTGCCTTACCTGCCAACCCTTGCCGAGTCCTAAACAGACACAACCCTTCATACAACCAACCAACCTTCTTCTCCTCCTCTTCCTCCTTCACCATGATGCGTGTTCCTCGACAAACCTTTTCCACTGCCGCCCGTATCCATCCCAACATTGTTCCTCACCTTCGTCCCCAGAAGAGAATGTCCTTTGGAAAGCTGTAAGTGTCATATACTCAGTGTCACACGACACCCACTGGATTGAATGCTGACCATCAATTACAGGGCCAAGCCCGTCGCGGCTGTTGTGGCTATTGGTTACGGAGCAAAGCTATCACTCGAAATGGCCCAAAGACGACGCATCGCTCAGATGGAAGCCATGGAGCGCGAGAATGCCGCATACCGAGAGCGAAATGAGGCTCTCATGAACATGTACGGTGATCGATCAAGTCTCGACGAACTCGAAAAGGCCGTTCAATATTACGAGAAACGATAAATGAATTCATCCAAGGACGAAACAAAGAAAAACAGAAAGAAAGAAAGAAAAAACACCAAAGTCGGGCTTTACAACGCCCTTCTCTCAATTCACAGGCTTGAAGCGACGCCGATACCTCACCTCCCCCGGAGATGTGTCGGAGTTTACTGGTACGGCTTTCACGACCACCTCAAGCCTTGAAATACTGCATTGGACCGGCGTTTAAAGGAATACCATCTTGCTTGGGATTATTGTTTGAAAGGACAATTCACCTGGTTGGCTTTCATCAGAGTCCAACATTTATCTCACGACCTAGCGACGGATTTGCTATATGAAAGGACTACACTACACTACAATACACTACTTGGGTATAGAAATATCCCATCTTACCTTACAGGTCACAACCATTCTCTCATTTACACACCTCATCTTATTGTTGTTCTTCCTCGATTACCTGTTTTGTGTGTCGTTCGCCCAGTCCCACATGCTCACGCCTTGAATTTTCACATTCAACTCAACCCAAAACGTCATGAGCCTCGCTGGATCACAGGCCGAGGTTTCCCGGCGGCTAATGAGCCCCGACCGATCCCTCAACCATCAGCACCCCCGAACGCCCCACTCCCGACGACTTAGCCGGTCCCTGGCCCGAAGAACCCCTATCAGCTCAGAGGAACACTTCCGAGGACTTTGTCTCTGACGTTGCCATTACGCGGTAATTGATGTCCATTACGTCCTCGTTTATCCCGGTGGTCATCTTCCGCGATTTCATGCGACGATGATACGAGAAGACTTTTTCGCCTTGGCAAGGCTATTGAGTTTTAAGCCGAGAAATACCTCACTCAGTTCAATGGATAAGAGAGTTGGTTTATTGCCGCGGAAGTGGTTGGATAAATCTGTATAAGAGAGTGTGTCAGGGATGGGCCTAAAGATTCTGCGAGTGAACAAACAATAAACAAGCAATAAAAACAGCATGTAAACTGAAAATCAACCAGAAAGCAAACTACCTAACTACTTATTAGTCAAATGTGAGGTTTGAGTTTAAAAATAAGGCACACCAATCACATCCCTTACCGGCTCGCCAATCTACTTATGCGAGGCCCCGATGTTGTTCAATCATGAGATACATCTCGACCACTGACCATGAAGCTCTGCAGAGCCAAGTACGGCGATACTAATTGAGCTTTTCGCGGGATATGTTACCATGAAATGTTCTTGAGGAGTCTCATTTCACCTGCTTACTAGCGACTGGTCACGCTACATCTACATGCATCCTTCGCAATAGTTCCAAATACCATCACTCATGGCATCATCATCACCCATGGCATCATTCATTATCATATCATATCAGCAATGGGGTATTCTTCGTCGCCAGAATCTTTCTGCATCTCGGATAGCCATAAATTTCTTTCCGAAGAGGCTCGTCCTCTTCTTCTCTCCTTGTCAAGGCTGTCATCCTAGGCAATGCCAGGACCAGCCCACTCCTTGCGTTTGAGTTTGCGGCCGGCCTGAAGCTCCTGGAGCTTGGTCGCGAAGCCGCGAGAAACATGGCAAATGAACTTGGGACGATCACGAAGGTCCTCCATGGTCTCAATCCAAGCCTTGTAGCTGACCCCCTCGCAAAAGTAGGTGATCATCCGGTCGCCAATCTCCACCTGGGAGCCGTGCTGCATGTTAAGGGCCTCGTAGCCATCGGCAAAGTCGCGCATGAGTAGTTTCTGCGTCCCTTGGTCGGCCTCAGTACGGTAGAGGGCGCGGTGCCCATTGCCGATGGCGACGTCAATGCAGCGGCCAATGAATTCACCCATGTTGGGGCTGATGAAGCGGTCGCACAGCTTGTAGACTTCGACATAGTCTCGCATAGGAGTCTTTATAGGTGCTGCCTCGGGATTCTGGGCAGGACGGGGATGCGCATGTGGTACAATAGAGGAGTGACTGTAGGCGACCCCAATGTAGAGACCTAGGTATCGCGGTTCGATGTCCTCGTCGTTGAATTCAACACCTCCCTTCTTGGCCTCGGCAAAGCGACCGTTGAGGCAGCTTTCGAAGTACTCCGAGTTTTTGGTCAGGACGTTCTTGGCAACTTGGAAAGTTTCGCCTTTCACCTTGAGCTCGACTAGCTGCTCATCATTCCTGTGCATGCATATAGGTCAGCGACTCTTATTCCCCAGCGCAAGATTTGATTCGCCTCTAAGCTTGAGGCGAAAGAGAAGCGCATACTTAAGAAGCCAGGAGGTGCGATAGTCCGTCAGAATGCCAGCAGACTGCTCATCGGCAGGGTCCTCCTTAGGACCAACACGGGTACGGGGTTTCTTTCGCGGAGGCGCCATGGCGATGCCAGGAGGAGTTGTTTTGCCTAAGAAGTGGGGTGTGTGAGTATCAACAGGGAATTCAGTCAAGTGCGCTTTCGCTTTGCAAGTGATGCAGAGAAGGTGAAGAGAGCAGAGTCTTGGTGTGAAGCAAGGTGTAGTTTGATGTTGCTAGCCATCGCTCGCAGCGATGTTCAAGTTGACTAAAGTCGAAATAATGTCAGTACATTGTAATTCTGCATTCTGCTTTTATTTCCAAAATACCTTCGTCGCCAAGTGAGTTCGTGATGTTGAGTTGTGGTTGCTAGGTCAGGTTGGTGGAAGAAAACAAACACAGCCTACAGGCACCGGGTCGGCACTGCTCATTCATCAGTACCTAGGTAAGGCGGCACCGAGTATGAAACTTGTCAATCTTTTACTCAGTCCATCAGGGTCTCCATTGGGTCGCCTTTATCAGAATATGCCTTATTAGGGAGCAGAGAACCTTGCCAGATCTTCGCTAAAGGTGTACATGAGGCCATGGTGATAATCTGCTGGTTGATATCCATTATTCAGTGAGGTAACCTATTCAAGAACGGCAGTAGATGCCGAAGCTTCAATAGAAGAGTGATATCGTGAAAAGAAACGCTGTGCGCTAGAATTGAAGGCACGGCAAGAGTTATAAGTGGGTTCCTCAAACCAGACACTGCTCGCCCCTGCCACCAGCTGCCGAGCAAAGATAAAGAGCAAAGAGCAAAGAGCCAACGCTGAGGTGGGATAAGACTTTTACTTGGCTCTTACTTTCCGAATCGTGACTTTCTCTTCATCGCCAAGTTCCCATCCAACCTTGTCCTTCTCTTTCAGTTCATCCCACTTGCGACCAGTAGCAAACTCCAAGAAGGGCAGGTCCACGTTGAAGTACGACCTTGAAAAGCATTTGAGGGTGTGAAGTCTCAAATCGTCGTCGGCCCACTCCATCAGCTTTAAGCAGTGTCGGCTGACTTGCTTCTTCGAGAACTGCCATGAGACATAGTCGTCGTGTGCCAGCGCCTTGAGTATCCGGTCCAGTTTCTTGTTCCTGATGTTGAAGTCTTGTCTGATGAAGTATGCCTCGGTCAGGTCCCTACGCCGACATGCGGCATCCAGCATGAAATAACCGGCAATTTCTTCGATCTCACTATGAACCATGGGTGTCCATACAGCCACGTATCGGAGAAGGTGTAGAATAGCCGGGTGATATGATTCAGGATGCTTGGCGAGAATGGACAGGCGGATAGAGAAGATGTATGCTTGGATCGAAAAGAGATCGGCTCTTTTCGTAGCCACCAAGCCCTCCCGAAGCTTTCTCAGTGCCATTAGGACATCCTGCAGAGATTTAGTATTGTCAGGATCCTCGATAGCTGCCAACATAGAAGTTGATGGTCCACTAGACGGTATGATAGAACGGAGGGCTTTCAGAGTGCCACTCAGAGCAGAGGACGGGGCAGCATTAGCGGGATCTGAGTCAGGAGTTTGGGGGGGGAAACTAGCATTTGTAGCTGAAATTTCAGGGGCTAGTGTTGAAGACGACGCTGCAGCAGAAGTTGCCGTGGAAGACGGTCTGTATCCAGGTGGAGGTCTGGTATATGGTGTTGCAGGACTTGGATCGACTGCTCTTATATCTAAAGCTTCGAAACTCCGTATAATTGAGTCCTTATCACCAGCTTCTGTGCAGAAAGCAAGGAAACGTGAAATGATCTGATTATAATACCACTCCTGGGTCTTGGGGTTGAGTAAGCTGTCTCTGGTCAGCCTGTCTGTCTCTCTTGTCTTGTGGGAAATGATCAATCTCGCATGTTAATAGATGATATTGACCGTCTAATACACACCTGTCATCACCCTTAGAAGGAAGACCAATACTTTGGAGCGGATCCTGCTCGACAGGTCTCAATCTCCCCCAGGGGCCTGATGGCATCCTGTTACCTCGACCTCGACGAACCATATCGTGCACAAATGAGCTGCCGTCGATGTCAGAAAAGAACTCCGATTGAAAACTCAATGCGCTAGGCCTCGAGGTTAAAGAACTGAGAGCCTTGTTGGCAGTGCGAAGAACAGAGTGTCATCGACTACAATAGAGGATGAATGAAGTCGGTTGCTGTGAAGACCGGAGGTTGACAGTGGGGTAGTTCTCAAGGACCCCGCGATCCACTGTTGGTTCCTGCGCCAGTCTCGACTTATCACAATGATGAGGGTGAAAAGCCAAAGGACTTGGTTGTGCCTTGAATAACCAGGGGTTGTTATTATTTCACGTGAGTAAGGACAAGGCTATCTAGGCAAGTACTAGGTAGGTAGAAAGACCAATCTAGCTAGGTATTTTCTCTCCTCCCTTGTCACACCGAAGACCCAAATGCAGGACGCTACGCACAGTATCAATCTTTCTTATACCGAAAAAGAGAAGAGCTACTTACTAGGTACAGATCGGTGGCTCAAGCAAATCTCTAATCAAAACCAAATTACTGAATTAAAAAGTGCTACTTCTAAAAGTCTTGCTATGTGCACATCCTTTTACGTGGGTATCATTATCGCTAGAAAGCCTTTCTTCCCATCTGCTTCCCTAGCCACCTCCAGCAATTCCAACACGTCATACATCCGCTTTCATTTTATCTTCTCATCCATGAATGCGGTCGGCTAGTGTCACCTTGTCCCAATTCTTGGGTCCCGCGGCCTCATACTTGCCAGACTTGGAGATGACTCGCCCAAGGCCCTGGTGGATCTCGGCCTGGAAAGGTCCGAATGGGCACTTCTCACCATCGATGCTGATATAGCCATCCTCTTGATCTCGAGGAATGATGCGGTAAGCTGAGATCTTCTTGTAGGTGACATGAGGGTTGTCAAACAGTTTCTCAGCTTCAACATCGAGAAGGACCTTGATAGCCGTTAAGAAAGGCAAGTCACCATCGATAGTGACGAGGTCCATCAAACCATCCGAGATGAGTGAGGCAGCGAAGAAGGGAGCATCGGGTGACATATAAGCCATCTATGGCAGTCAGTAATGTTCCAAATGCAAGGGTTACTTTGACTACTCACGTTACCGGCGTAGAATGTGCCAACCTTGTCATAGGGAATCAACTCCCATCCTTCAGGGAGATCATCCTGGATCGTGCCATACTTCAAGGGCGGCAAACCTGCATCTTCAGCTACGGGGTCTACATCAAGCTTCTTAGCAAGATGATTCAGGCTCGTAGAGCTCGCGTGATGCTTGTAATGAGCCTTGACATCGCCCTTATCTTCGATCTCCACCTTGACAGCCAGGTCAAAGGGATAACACTTCTTCTTGAACATGCGCTGAACGACACCAACCTCGAAACGCGCACTGCCCATCCATCGCATGTGCTCTGTGCCAAGATCACATTCGGCAATGAGGCCGAGCGTCTGGGACAGGAACGAAATAATGCGGTTGTGGCCACTAGTGACTGACACCAAATCCATCGGGGTCACGACACCCTTGATGATGGCAAGGGCAGCGAAAGAGGGTCGATGAGATCCGTACAAGTTGCAAGAAAATGCATTTCCTGATCCACAAGGGATATGGCTGACAGGCATCGTAGAAAGCGCTCTAGCAGCATCAGGTCGCTTAGCAAGACCGTTGAAAATCTCGTGTGGCGTTCCATCACCGGAACATGCCATGATAGTATCGTATTTGGACAAGTCGGCGTTTTGCGCCAGTTCAACGGCTTCTCCACCGTGCTTCAATATCACAGGGTCAATCTGCATCTTTGCGGCCTGGAAGAGCGGTTTCACCTCGGTCTCCCACTGCTTGATAGCACCGCCGGGACCGGAGTTTGGGTTGATCAGCACGTATGCGCGTTTCTGAGACTGCGCATCACCGTAGGCGCGTGTCATGAGGGTCTTGACGAAGATCTCGGCTGGTGTACCACTGGTCGACGCGTCGTCCTTGGCAAGTGTAAAAACCCATTTCTTAGGTTTGATCAATGTCTTCGAAGCGTGATGGGCGTAGTCGATTATGATTTGGTTGTTGGAGAGCTCAGCCCAGAGCACGTTGTAGAAGGGTATGCTATTGTTGGGAGCGGGTTCTGTAGAGAAGCATGATCAGTAGGTATTTCCTTATTATCTCAAATCACAGTTCTGAATGCTTACTGCCAGAGAAAGGAGCACATGAGGAGCGAGTTGACTTGTTTGCAACAGGGTCTGTCAATGATCAGTCGAGGACTTGGTGTGATTGTCTTCTCCAAAGGATCGCACCGTTGAGCTCCAGTTCTTCGATTCCAATGGTCAACTTCTTCTTATCCTCCAAGAGGAGCAACATTCCAACGCCTTGGTCCATTTTTCGATCAATTTCCGTGTTCATTAAAGCTGATGTCAGCTAGCAATGAGCTTATCGATTGTGGTTTATATCGAACACCTTAAAACGCTAAGGGGCAAAGTGCAAGGGTTAGGTAGTTCGATCGTCGCGATTATGATTAATTGATCGCGTACAGAAAGAAGCAACAGATTTGAAAAAGAAAATCGAGAAAATGAAGGACTGGGACAGCTCGCTCTGGTGACATAAAAAGGAAAGGAAAGACCAAAATCCAAAGCCTCTGATAACGAGCATGTGTTTTAGAATGTTTCCGCAAGGAATTTCTTCTTAGGATCAATCGGATTACGCGGATGCCCGTTGAACCTAGGCTGTTGATCTGCGGGGGGTCGCATCCGAGATTACTGACCTAAAGCCCCTGTAAATGCTTGCATTCGCGATGGGCGGGCACCTGCTGGCAGCTGACAGCTAGAACCAGTAGTGAGTGCCAACAGTGCCTGAGTCCCTGACGTGGTGGAGTGTGAGACTCGGCAGGGCTATTGTCAGTGCCAGGCGGTGCCGCGGTAAGACAGCCAGAGATACCTAGTCACCAACTCCACACTAGCTGTAGTATTCGGTGGCCGCGGAGCCACGAGATATCTTGAAGACGTCGATTTGACTTCGACACAAGGAACTGTTGGCCTTTAGTTAGAGGCTTACCTCAGATTTGTCATCACTTGTGATGTAACCAAGATCTCAGTTCCCCAGAGATAAATGGCTTCTTCTTGTTTAGCCAATGTACTCGACCAATGAGGCTGATAGCGGCATGCTTGTTCTACACGATGGATGGATGCTTTAACTTTTCCCCATGTTCCCAAAACTCCATTTCCCCGCCATCTTCGGAGTCATTCCTTGCGCCAGACTGTCCTTCCTTCTCCTTCCTTCCTTCCTTCCTTCCTTCCTTCCTTAACCTTTTTCTAACCTGAACTGGAACACCTCGGAAACGCAGCCTCGGTTACATGCATCTATCTATATGGCCAATGTCATTCAGTATCAGCATCTCATGTGCTGAACCCCCACAAACTTTTTAAGTATCAGCAAGTAAGAAAGTAAGAAACGCCCCTTTATGCGAGTCTCGTCACGTCAGGGAATTTCTTCTGGGCCGCCTTCTTGTATGCTTCCACCTGGGAACTCCTCCAGCCCTTGAGCACCTGAAGACCCTCGATGGCGTCCTCATAGGTCACATCAGGGATATCCAAGATGCCAGAGACGGCCTCCTCACTCTTAGCCTTATCCTGGTCCAGTACTCTCTGTGCCTTGATGGCGGAGAGAGCGTGTCTAGGGCTACCCTTGTTGGCAGCAAGGAACTCGTCGTTGAACTTGACGAGATCCGTGGAAGGATCCACGGCCTTGAACTCAGTCTGCAGCACCTCTAGAGCCTTGGGCTCAATGTCGGTCGCAGTCTTCAATAGTTGAGCGAACGCTACAGTATGTTCATGCACCCTGGGCGACTTGGGGTCAAGTGCTAGGGCAGCTGTGAGACAGCGTAAGGCGAGAACGTACTTCTCTAATAGAGGAACAGGTTAGTAAATAAATAGATAAAAACTTGGTAATCTATGGTATTAAACTTACTGCGACGCATATAGACCTCGAAGCCAGCGAATTGGGCGTTGATGTTCTTGGGGCTGAATTGTAGTAAGGGGTTAACAAACTTCATGGCATCCCCAAGAGGGTCTGTGGTTTCGGCGAGTTTCAGTCCGAATGGATCGTCGTCCTGCTTCTTGACTTCTCCATCCTTATCCTTGCCCTTGTTGGGGTCTTGCTTGGCTTGTAACTCGGCAGCCTCTTTTTCGAGGCGTTGCTGCTCCTTTCTAGCCTTCTTGGCAGCCTTCTTCTTGGCTAGAGCATCCTCAGCGTCCTCTCCGTCGGCGCCATTGACACCATTTGCGGATGGCTTATCGGCCAACTTGAGGTAAACTTCAATCGCGTCCAGAGCAGCTCTTGAGAAAAAGGGATGATCACGGACATGGTCTTCCCATCGCATCATGTCGATGTAGGCTCGGATCTGGCCCTTGCGCAGAGAGAAGCTGTGGAAATCGAACTGGTCCTCCTGCCACACCTCGAAGATGTTGAAGATTTGCTGGAATCGCTTGAGAGCAAGGGCAACATTGCCTTGTCGAACATATGCCTCGCCGTCTTCTGTCAAGAACCAGACACTCTGCATATCCAAAAGATCCGCCAAGGGACCACCAACAGTTTCTGCGCGAGTGAAAAGGCCGACTGTCTTGAGAGCCTTGTCGTTTTCGTTGTTGCGAAGCTGGTACTTGGCTGCCTTTGTGTTGATGTATCTATCCTTAAGATCGAGCTTCCTGGCTCGATCCATTGCCTTGGAGGCTTCTTGTATGTTTCCGCCATGCTTGATGATTCGTGCCTTGGTCATGGCAAAATCAACGCTCTTGGGGTCCTTTTCAATTGCCTTCTCGACGTACTCCATGGCTTTTGCCAAGTCGCGGCTGAGATGGTAGTTGTAGTGCTGTGCGAGGTAGTACAGTGCTGCGGCTTCTCCTTTATCCTTACTTTTCGAATCAGCACCCTGCGAGTTCAAATAGTTCTCGGCGAGTTCACGGAGGGTGTCCTTCTTGAATGAGTCGGAGTAAAGATGCTTCAGGTTAGCAAAG